TTGTGAAGGTAGTTTTAGAGAAATAGTTAAAAGTTAAAGTTTTAAAACCAAAAGTGGTTTTTGTAGCATTTTGCTACAAGTTTCTAAGATAAAGACTTAAAACTCTCAGATTATATGTAAAATTATGAGCTGGGCAAATTTATTTAGAGTGCCAAGGCAGTTATCTTAATAAAATCATGTGTTATTAACAATTTTTGACTGGCAAATTTTTAGTTAAATTTTGTGTAAGTGATTAACGGAAAGAGTTCCTTCTATTTTCAACAATTATTTATCTAATCAGTTTTTAATAACCGATTAGAAAATTAATCACATAAATTAAAATGTGTATCTTTTGTCAAGAGCTTCAATTGCTAAAAGAAAATTTTTTATACTTTGATATTCTTAATTATCAACTTTTTCAACAGTTTCAAAAAAAATATCATGAAACCTTAAGCTTAATTACTGAATTTAATTATTCACCAAAAAAATCAAAACAGAAGATCAAGTGATTAATTTTTTATCTATTTGTAAAAAAATAGTTAAAGCAATTCATTATCAAGAAAATTATAATGAGTTATTTACTATCAATGAAAATGAAGTGTATTAATTTAATTCAGTTATATTTAACTGAATAAATTTTTCTATACGTATAAAATGACACGTAAAGATTTAATAAATTCTTACAAAATACCAGATTTATTTTTTGTTTATGAAGCTGTTGATGCTTTTAATTATAAAAACTATTTGTTACATTTATTCTCTGTTTGTACCAATGGAGAAAAAATAACTATAAACATTATTATAAAGGATATATTTTTTGATATTAAATTAAAAAGTGAAGAATTAATTGATTCATATATTGATGAATTTAAACCAGATTCATTCGAAATTATTGAAAAACAACCATTTGATTCAAAAAAATATAATTTTATTCGTTTATATTTTAAAACCTATAAAGAACGAAAAGAAGCATTGCAAAGTCTAAAAGATAAACTTGATAAATTAAATGAATTAAAAGAACATTCGTATTTAAAAGAAAAAGAAAAAGAAATTATACAACAGATTGAAGATTAATCCTAAACTACTTAAAAGATACAATATTACAACATTACCAATAAATACAACATTTTTTTTCTCAAAATATTCAGAAAAAATTTCATGTGACTCTGAAAATTTCATTTTTGTTAAAGTAGAAACTGAAAAGGAATTATTACTAAAATTTGCAGAATTATAGTATGGATTTAACAGAGATATTGAAATTGGATATAATACGGGAGGCTTTGATTGGCTGAATATTTTAAAAAAAGTAGAATTACTAGGAATTGGAGATATATTTGTTGAAAAGTTTTTAGGAAAAAAATCTAAATTAATTTCAAATATATATGAAAAAGATATTCGCGTTGTTGATAAAGATTTGGATAAGGAGAATTCAAAGTATGAATTTGCAAGCTTTAATATTATAAACAGAGAGATAAAAGTTAATCCAATGGAAAATACAAAATGTAAATATTTTTATAAACAGGATCTGATATTTTTAGATCTATTAGTCTGGGCTAAAAAACATTTCAACAAGAAATTAAATATACGTTAGATCATATTTTACAAATCTGCAAATTAGATGGAAAAGCTGATCTATCATATCTACCAGAAAATTGTAATAATTTACATTCTATATATGTTTATGTTACAGCAATCAAACATTTTTTTGATCCAGAATTTTTAAAAGAATCAGCAAAAAAAGTTATCAATGAAATGTAATATTGAATATCAAAATTGTTTGGATTCATTATTAAATATTTTATTTGAAAAATTAGATGAATATAGGGTTGAAATTGCTTATTATTGTTCGATTGATACATTACATTTACAAGAACTTATGATTAAAAGAAATATAATTGGAGATTATATTTAATTAGCAGCTTTATCATGTGTTTCTGTTTCGAATGTATTTTTAAATGGAGTTGGAACATTAGTTTTAAATACATTTGGTAGATATGCTGCGAGAACTGATAAATTACTATCAACGACTCGTAAAGGAATAATCGAAGTGGTAAATAAATATGAGTGAGCACTTGTATTAGAGGTTAATAATAGAAATATCACAGAATCTGTGGCAGATTTAGATGTTAATTCATTTTATCCAAATGCTATAATTCAAATAAATATATGTTTATCAATATTAGTAACAGATGAATCTGAGGACACTTCATTATATATTGTTCAAGATAACAGAATAAACTATAGAAAATTTAAACCACATTATAACGATGAAGAAAAAATAGGAATAATGCCATTGATATATAAAAAATTATTAGAAGAGTGAGTTGTTGCAAAGGAAAAAATGAAAGAATTTAAAGAAGATAAAATTTTATTAGCATATTGGACATCATTATCTAATGCATTAAAAACTGTAGCAAGTGCTACATATGGTTATAGTGGCTCTAGATTTTCTCCTTTATTTAAAAAATCTGTAGCTTTGTCTATAACTGCTTTTTGTCATTCTACACTTAAAGAGATTATTGAATATCTGAAAAGTTTAGGATATGAGATAATCTATGGAGATACCAACTCAATATTTTATATAATACCAATAGTTTATTTAAAAAAGTTAACATATAAAAGAGAAAAGATTAAACGAACAATAGAAATCTTTTTAGAACTTGAAAAACAAGTTAATAAGTATTTAATTTCAAAAGGAAAAATTTTTATTAGAATGTCCTATGAAAAAACTTTATATCCATGTATTTTTTTTAAAAAAAAACACTACTGTAGTTGTGTACATGAAAAAAAATCAGAACTTGAACAACCAAAATTATTCTTAAAAGGATTAAAAGTAAAAAAATGAAATACATCAGAATTCAATAAACAAATTAGAAAAGAGATGATTTGGAGGATATTGGGATTTAATGAAGAAAAACAATTAACTAATAGTACTCAAGATCCTAAACAGGTTATTTTAGATGTTATTAAAAAACATATTCAGATGACACATGATATCAACTTGTTTACACTAAATGTGAATTATAAACCAACTACTATTATTAAAGCACGAGATTTTATTATTGAAAAAAATAACAAAAAAGAAATTAACTTAAGTAAGATGAAACAAAAACCAAAAACCAAAGGAAGAAATATAATGGTACTTGATTTTGTTCAAAAAAGAATCAATAGTGGTAAATCAATAGCACCAGAAAGATTTTTTTACTATGTTTTAGATCTTGATTATAAAAATATAGGGTATAAAATTTGTTTGGTTAATGAATTTAATTCCAACAAAGATAAAATAGATTTACTTTATTATCTAAAAAGTTCAAAGGATTTATGTGAAAGTTTTTTTTCATGTAAAAAGGGAGAAGCTGAAAAAATAATAATTTCTTTATATAAAGAAATTACTGAAAAATCAGAACAAATTAGGATAGATAATAATTTAAATATAAATTTTATAGTGAAAAAGGGAAGTATCATTAATTATTTTAAATGAAAGAAAGAAGAAAAACAAGAGAAAACAAGAAAAAAATTATAAGTAGATAGTAAAATCACAGATTTTTTTCTTAAAACTAACTAATCAGTTATAAATACCAATTAGTCTTTTAATTAGTTAATTTTAAAATGGAAAAGGTATATATTTATCATTTAGCACATGAAACACTTTATGAAATATTTTTCTATTTAACACCAGAAAAGATAACTTTTTTAGAAAGAAATTTCGTTCAGTTAAAATTTGTATCACGTACTTTTTATAATATATACCATAATATCATCAGAAAAAAACTCACAAAATACGAATTAATTCAACAATTTAATCCACATACGTTAGCTCCTCCAGTAATGGTACCATATAAATTACGTTATACAAAAAAAGAAATTTAGGTTGATTTTAAATTAAAAGGAAAACTGTACTTTCGTATCATACAACAAGAAGATAACGTTTTTTTTGTTAATGGAGTTGATAATGATGAATATCTTATTTTAATTACCCAAGAAGATAAAAAAATTTATGGAAAAAAATGTAGAAAATGTGGTATTTAAATATATTGTGTTAATCACAATTTTAGTTCAAATTATATTTATGCTAATTATAGTATTCAATTATGTTATTTATGTATTTGATGAAAGTTAAAAACTAACTAATCAGTATATAAATACCGATTAGTCTTTTAATTGATTAATTTTAAAATGGAAAAACAAATATTTTTTCATTTAGCATGTGAAACACTTTATGAAATATTTTTCTATCTAACACCAGAAAAGATAACTTTTTTAGAAAGAAATTTTATTCAGTTAAAATTTGTATCGCGTACTTTTTATAATATATACCATGATATCATCAGAAAAAAAATCACAAAATATGAATTAATTCAGCAATATAATCCATATACGCATGCTTCTCCAGTAACAGTACTATATAAATTACATTATACAAAAAAAAATATTTGGGTTGATTTTGAATTTGAAGGAAAACCATATTATCGTCACTTGCAACAGAATAGAAATAAACAATTTTTGTTGACATACAAAGAATTGGTGGTAAATATCTTAATTTTATTACTGAAGAAGATAGAAAAAAATATATGAAAATTTGTAGAAAATGTGGTGCCAAAACATATTGTGCAAATTACGATTTTAATTCATTCAGAGGTTCTTCTTATGATGCTCTATTAAGAAGTTTACGTGGTACTTATTATATTTGGGGAAATTTTGTTAATTATTTTGATATTCAATTATGTTACTTTTGTAAAGAGTATCTTAAACTTGAATTTTATGAGGATCAGGAAAATCAGAAACCGGCATTTGCAACTTTTTATCTTTAGTCTTCACTAATAATTTGAAAGTATAAATATAATCAATTTATCAATCAATTTATATTTATTAAAATAGAAAATTATATTATTTTCGATTCCAATATTGTTTCTATAAACCAATATATTGAAATAACTAATTATCTAAAACAATATCAACAAATAAATCAAATCATAAAATATCTTCAAACAAAAACGTTTAAATTAGAAGAATTTAATCAATTAGTAAAATTAGTTAAAAGAATAACTGAATGTAAAGAAATTGGTACTAACTACAAATATACCTTCAATATAGAATTTATCGATGAATTTATAATTCTTACAGAAACTGTCAACGAAACATTATTTATAAGAGAACATGTATTCTTCTAATTAGTTTTAAACCAATTAGATTTTTTTTTAATGTAAAATGGATCAAGAAATGAAAACTTTAATTTCTTTAATTCATGGTGTTGTTAGTGGTTCTTTTGCTAATTATATAAATTTGACTAGACATTTATTAACTGAAAATGATTTATTAACCAGAGGAGAAAAAAGAATTATAATTCAAAATATAAACACATATATTCTAGTTTATATAAATGAAAACAATTATTTAATTTCATTTTTTAAACATCTAAAGTTTATAACTGAAATTATTAACAATATTCAAAATTCAAGTAATAAAAAACAATTAGCTGAGTATTTGGATTTGTTATATGAAACACATGTTTCAGAACTTACTGAAGAAGATTTTGAAGAATTTGATGATTAAATTAAATTTTTATACTTTGAATAATAAAAGCCAAAAATCGCGAAGCGATTTTTCACTCTGATCTTAGTCCAAAAGGTTTTGAGAGGATGTTGTTGCATGCCAAGCCAACGCGTGAAGGGGACTGGGGCTCCACGCATACCGGCTGACCGCAGCGCACAACTATTAGAATATAATTTATATTTTTCCAGATACTATTAACCATGCTATGAATTTTGGTAAAATAATAAATGTAAATATATATGATAGAAAGAAAAAGAAAATAAACCACCAAAATACTTCGCAATAAAAATTACAACAACAATTTTTACAAAAATGTCTAATAATTTTCACTAAGAATTTTAAAAGTTTATAAAAATAAATAAATATTAATGAAAACAAATAACTAATTCCCATCAAACTAACCCAAATTCCTAATATAACAGTTAATACTAAATTTTTAAATATATATATTATTGTATTTAAAGTTAAAATAAAAAAAAGTATTTCAAAAAAATAAAGAATAAATCTTTCATTTGAAAGTGTACAAACAATATTAGATTCTTGAATATAACAACAAGTATTCCAAAAATAGTATGTGTGAAAACTTTTGAGAATAAGTTTACACCATAGTACTATTTTCCAAATATATAATTTATCAGTATTTTTTGTTGATAAAAATTTTCAAATTCAATTTTAAATACTGAGAAGTAATCAATTAATGTTGAAAGTTTTTTAATTTCAACTGAAAGCTTTTTATCATCTTTAAGAATAACAGTAGATGTTGAATTATTTTTATTTAATTCTTGTATTTTGATTAAAAGTTGTTCATTTGTAAGTTTTAAATCTTTATTTTCTGTTTCTAATAATATGTAATTAGAGTTTTGATAACTTAAAAGTTGTCTTCTTAGTTCTTTAATTTCATCTTGAAGTTCTCTGTTAATAATCGATAAGTCATTATTTTCAGTTCTAAGGTCAGTAATTTCTTTATTTAGACTAAGTAATCTTTCTGTTAGTGAATTTGTAGTCATTTTAATTTATTTTAAAAAAGTAAGAATAAAAACAATATTTATATAAAATTTAAAAATAAAATTTATAAAAGAAAACAGATAAATTTGAAAATCTAATAATAGAACCTATAATACCAATCATTATTTTATCAAAGTTATATAAGATTTGTTCTTTCATTTCATCAGGAATATATTCGATAAATTTTTCTCCATATGTTTCAATAAGTTTTTGAATTTTATCTACAAGTTCTTTAACTTGAATATCTGTAAGTTTACTAACTAATTCCTTCATTTTATCAAATGCAATTGATTGCTTTTTCATTCCTAGTTTATCACAAACTGTATCTTTTGATAAAGGATTTTTAATATATTCTTTTAAATGTTGTTGAATTTTACTTTCTTTGAATTCATTTTTACAAATAGGACAACTAATAAAATTAATAATAGGTGTTGTTGTTGGTTTCACACTATTAGAATTTTTACTTGTTGTTGTAGGTGTTTCAGTTGTTAAAATTTTTGAAAAATTAGTTGTTAGTTTTACACTAGTAGAAGTTTTAGTTGTAGTTGTTGTAGGTGTTTCAGTTGTTAAAATTTTTAGAAAATTAGTTGGTCTTGGTGGGAGTGTATTAATTGTTGTTGTAGGTATATTAATAGATGTAGTTGGAGTATTAATTGTTGTTGTAGGTGGTTGTCTATTATTATCATCTTTGGGTGAAGGAATTGGTGGTGTTGGATTTTGGTTATCTGTATTTTTTCTAAATATTATTAATTAATTAAATGAGAAACTTAAAAAAAAACAAATATTTACTTTTTCTTTCTTTGTTCTTCATCCTGTTCATCAAGTTTTTGTTTTAAATCTGCAATTTGATCTCCTAATCTTGAAATAGCCAAAGCAGAATTTTGATTAAGATCAATCCATCTATATGTTAGATTATATTCTAATACTGTAGCACAAGGTCCTCTCATATATCCATCATCATGTGAAGGGGCAAACATAGTACCAACATTATATCTAGTTCTTTCATTTTTATCGCTTATAAATTTTAGATATCTTAATGATTCATTGATATCTAATGCAGTTACAAACCAGAAGAATCCTGTATTAAATTGAATAAATTGATTTCCTTGTATATTACTTGTACGAATAAGACACCATTGTTTTTCTATTTTCCATGTAAAACATAATATTTTTTTATAATCACATTTTGAACATTCTATTTCTTCAATTTTATCATATACAACATTAAAATTTCGTCTGATTGGACTATTAATTAAATCATTCATATCTTCAAATATATTTACTGCTGGTAAACTTTTATTATCTGGTACTGCTGTTTGACTAAGAGGTAATTCACAAGTGGTACCAACTTGAAGAATTAATGCTCTTATACGAAAAGTTTTTCTAATTGGATTAATTACATATGTATCATCAGCATCTTGACCTCTTTGTACTTGGGCTAATAGAAATTCATATCTTGATTTTCCTGAATTATCACCTTCAATTTGTGTTGAATCAACTGTTGAATTTCCATGTCCAACTATATTTAACCTCACAATTTGGTAGAAATCTAACATAAATTTATTTGTGGTGTTAGCGTTGAATTGTATATCTTGAAATAATAATGAACCTGAATAATAAAGTTGTGGTCATCTAAGTAAAGTATTATTTCCATCTGATGTTTGTGCTGGTGTTTCAATATTAATTCTAGCTCTTCTTCTTTGAATCATAGAATTATATCTTATTTGTTCAGCTTTATAGGTTTTTACTCTACAGGTTTTTTCAAGTTCGCTTAATTCTTTACCTATTGGTGCACAAAAACTCACTTGTGGATTAGCCATTTATTCAAATCCTACTGTGTAAATATTTTATTTGTAGCAGAAAAGCAACAGATACAACTCGAACTACAGGGTCCAGGTTCACTAGTATAGCAACACCTGCAACTATTATTACAATTGTTATTTTTTTCTATATTTTTTTTAATTATTAGTGGTTCTGTTTTTGTTGCTGTTTTTGTTTTTGTTGTTTTTGTTGTTTTTGTTGTTTTTTTTCTAGGCTTTGTTTTTTTTATTGTTGATGGTTTAGTTGTTATTTTTTAGTTGTCTTTTTTTTACTAGATTTAAGTTTGGCAACCGTTTTTCTTCTTTGTTTAGTTGGAGCTACTTTTATTGATATTATTCAACAAATTGAATAAAAAAAGTAATAGCTTTTCCGATTACAGTTGATAAAATTTCTTTGAGACTTGTGATTGAAAAAAATTCAAAAATTTCTTTATAGAATTGTGCAGTACCAAAGATTTTTATAGATAAAATGATGATAATTTCTAATAAAATTATTATGAATAAAAAATCATATAGGTTTGATTTATCCATTAACAGAAAAATTCTTAATGGTTCTTCTGGTTCTATTTATATTTTTTTGTATAAATAGTTGAGCTCTACGTATTTGAGATTTTATTAGTTAAGATGTGATTTTATTTTTTTGTTTTCTTTTTGTTAATAATTTTAACAATTGGTGAAACAAGAGTAACAAGATACGTTAAAAGTGAAAGACCACAAAAAAAATATATTCGAAAATGCGGCTGCAAATTATAAAATCTTTCATTATTTTATTGGTAATATATTTAATTTTTATTACAAGTGATTCATGGGCTGCAAGAACAAGAAGAAGAATTTGTAGAATTAAACAACCAAAAAGAGTTGAGAGACCGAGAATTTGAAGAAATAATAATCTGTGAGTGGTTGTACCAAGACCAAAAGGTTCACGTTATACTAAAATACCTGTTCAGCCACCACCAGATAGTGTAATTGATAAATTAGTAACCTGGAGAGCAGGAAAATATCGAGATGTATTAAATAAAAATGGAAAGGTTACAAATCAATATAAAGGGGGTCTTTATGTTGAGAAAATTGGAAGAAATGGTCAAGTTCGTTATTCTCCAGTTCATAAATTAATTGATCACCAACACCAAGATCTAGAGCTTCAACTCCTAATTAACTATGACTTCTATTTCAACACAAGTAAATCGTATTTTGAAACTTTTTGATAATTTTAATCTTTTATAATGGATAATTTTAATATTAATTATAATACAAATATTACAATTGAAGAGCAACAAACTAAAATTTTAAATTTTTCAATACAAAATAATAGAGAAAATTTTAGAAATATAATAGTTGATATTTTAAAAAATCTTTAAGTTGATTATGATAGTAGTAAAAGTGAAGAAGAAAATTTAAAGATTATTTTAGATGAAACTAAAATATTATATCAACTATCACAATCATAAAAAATATAAATATCTCTAATATTCAACTAAAAAAAAAAAATAAAACAAAAAAAATGTCTTCTACAACTGCTACAACTACTTCAACATCAAGACAAGTAAATCGTATTAATAATTTAATAGCTGATTTACGAAGACAAATAGCAGATTTACAATCATCCTCTTCATCAAATGCAAATGCAAATAGAGATAAAATTGTAACAATTTTTAATAATTTGGGTATTAATCCTCCTCAAGGTCAACAATTATCACAATTAACAGTAGATAATTTACTTGATATGGTTATTACTGTAACTGTTGATATTCAAAATATTGGTTCAAAAAGAGAATTTGATAATTTTAATGATTAATTTTTTTTTTATTTTCATAAATTAGTATGATACAATTTATTTTTTAAATAAATATAAATAAAGATCAAATAAAAAAGAGCGTTAATTTTTATTTTATTTTATAAATGAATAATTATAATAATTTTATGAGAGATTGTGATGGAAATTATAACACATTATCTACAATTTTTTATCAACAAAATCAAGTTATATTAGATAATGTGTTTGTATCAGGAAGAACTCCTGTAAAAGGTCATATTAATATACTTAATACATGCACTACAACAGTTAATGAACATTGGACTCTTTCTAGAACAGATTGTCCTGAATTTACAAATGCATTTGTTGACTGGCGAAATAGAAATGGTCTAGTTAAAATGTTTAATAGTTTTGCTAGATTAAGTAATAATAGAGAATTTAGGCAACTTTTTGCATATAGTAGATCTTTATTAGTTCAATTTGAACTTTTAAAATGGTTTATAACTTCAGGAGTAGGAACAGGAACTGGTGGAACATTTTCAGAAGGTTTAGATACACGAATTCAGAAAATATTTAATAATTTAAAAATTCAAAATACAGCATCAACTACCAATGAACAGATTGATGAAATTCTTAGAGTAACAAGAGATATTCGGAACATTAGTTGATCACTATGAAATTATCAGATTAAGTAAATTGATATTATGCAAGTAATTTTATTTATATTAATTTAGTAATATATTTAGATTAAATTGAGTATTTTAAAAATTTATATTATTAAAATAAAGATAAAAGAACATGGAATTTTCTTTGTAATCATTGTGTTTATCACTTAAAATTTTGTTTAACAAATAAATATTTATCCAATAAAGTTAAAAATTATTTTTAAAAATGTTTAATAAAATCTTTTTCATTACTCTTGCATTTATAGTCCTTTTAGGACTATTTCTTACAAATTTTTTTGCTGGTGAATATGAAGAAATTATTTACCAATACTTTATTAAATTTATATATCCAAATCTTTTCTTTTGGATTAGCACAATTATTATTTATTTAATAACAGTTGCATTATATTATTTTTGGTTCTGGAATACTCTAATAGAACATTTTCCAGAACGATTTATCTCTTAAATGAGATTGAACGAAGTGTTTGAATATTCAAATACTTCTTCTTTTATGCCAATCAAAATTGGCATCTTATTTTATATTTCTTCGAATTAAAGAAGAAACAAACATATTTGACGAGAAAAACTTCTTCGTCATTCAATAAAATTTGGAAGAAAAAGAAGAAATAGACAAAGAAATTCACAAGAATTGTGGATGATATTAAACGAGCTGTTGGGGGGTGACAGGTCTAAAGGAATTTTTGTTAAGTAAGAATTAGTTGTTTTTTTTTATATTATCTTAAAGCAAAATATCAGTCTATAAACAACTTTAATTTGGTAAGATATTTTGCCAGCCTTCGTGGTGACTTGCATATTGATTTTTCTTTAAATCAATATGTTTAGTTTTAATGTATATTATTGTCTTAATAAATAAATATAATTTATAAATAAAGTTTATTTTTTTAAACAAATGAAAAATGCTTCTCAAAGATTTTGTTTGTGTTTACGTCTCCAACTATATTCTTTAAGATATGGTTCAATAATTCCAACTCTTCTTTTATCTTTTGGAATTGATAGTTTTAGAGCATTCCAAGTACCTTCTATTGTATTTGTATGAATTCTTTTAATTCTTTGTTGTTGAGATACTCGTTTGAATGATTAATTCGAATATGTTTAATATTTAATTTTTCAAGATTATTATAACCTTTTCAACAATCACTATATACTGTAGAACTGGGTTTTACATGTTTTTTAATAAATTTAAAGAGTTGAATAATTACGATTATTAACAACTTCAAAATAACATTTCTTATTTCCAGTTCTTTCGGTAATTCCTACAACTCAAAAATCACCAAATTTTGATTCATCTATTTCAACAATTGCACCGATCCCTCCTAGTATTTCATCATTTATATTTAACGATTCAATAACCAATTCTCGAAAAAATTTAGTATAATTACAAACTGTTTCTTTACAATATTTTGTAATAGTTATAATGTTTGTAAAACGAAGTTTAGCTAACCAAAAATAAGCCAATAAAATAATATCATTACAAAGAATATGATTTTTGAAAATAAAGAATCTGTGTAAATAGAAGCAGATTTTCTACAGTTCTTGTTAATACATCTAAATATTTTTTTATATATGTATAAATTACTATTACAAATATCACAAGTAGTTTTTTGCTTAATTAATTTCCTATTAAATAAATAATTTATACAATCATATTCGTTAAAAAGAATATTATTTATTTGATCTATTTTTGGAACCACCATTTTTTTTTTTAAAAAAAAAGCAGGGTTTTATTTATTTATATTTTTTTTAAGAACCAATAATTACAAGCCACTTTTAATGCAAAATTGAACATATGTACATATTTTTTTTAGAACACCAATTATTAAAAAAAAGGCAAGCCACTTTTAACGTAAATTGAACATATGATATTTTTTTCTAAATTAAGTAATATTTAAAAAAAAATAATTACAGTAAAAAATAATTATGGTATAAAGAAACTAAAATTATTATATAGAAGAAAAGAAAAAGAGTAAAAGGATAAAATATATAAATAGAATCAAATTTTCTCTTACAAACTAAAAAAACACGCAACCAGAATAAAAATATTTGCATTTAAAATGTCTTTTTTAAAAAAACTTATTAACAAATTTAAAAATAAAGAAAATGATGATTATTCGATTTGGTCTAATATTGACCAAAAAGAAACTCAATTTACTGACTGGAGTGGACAACAAGAGAATGAATTTTCTTGAAAAGAAGATCAATCCACAAAGTCGGCTGTCGATCTAGAAACAGATCCTAAAGGATCACCCAAATCCCCAACCGAATTTGAGAATCGATCTCAATCTGATAATTCTCAAGAAACACTAATTATTAAAACTAATGAACATTATTTTGAGTTAATACTTTTAGTATTAACTTTATTTTTCATGTTTATTTCGATTTCTATCTCTTTTTTGATAGGAATTTTATTATTATATAGATTTAAATTTATGTTAGTTAAATCTAAATTAGCAGATAATAATTATATCGATTATATTGATCCTTTTTTAATTAACTTTTCACAAGCAACCATCTCACCGTGGTTCAAGAACCAAAATTTGCTTGAAGATACAATAGAAGATTTAGTTAATAGTAATGTTAAAATTGAAAAATTTCTATATATCGAAATATGTATGATTAATGATATATGATATTCTTCTGATAATAGACGGCTCTATTGTTTTCAACAAGCGATTAAAAAAGGATTAAATATTGAAAAAATACCTGTTAAGGTTCGTCGGGTATCTGATATGAACATTAAATGGAAGCTTGAAGGTAGTTTAACTATAATAAGAAATAAAAATTTCAAAGATATTATAGTAAATTCTCAAGTGAGAAATGGTAGATGTATTAACAGAGAAAGAGAAGTTTATGAACATATTAATTATTGGGATTAATTTATTTTATTTTTAATAAATACTTGTTTTGTAGTTTTGCGAAATAAGTGCTTGTTTTTGATAGAATTTTATCTTATTTATATGCTTAAATAACTTTTAAAATCATGTAATCGGACCAGATATTATTTTATCAAAATAAATATTGTCTAATAAAATTTTTTAAAAATAAATTAATTTTATAAATGTTTTTAGTAATTTTAAATTGATCGTTAAACACATCCGGATAATCTGTTATCACAATATCTTGTAGAAATTAAATTTGATCGACAATATATATATTGATATTCTAAAAGTATTTTAAATTTTATTAATGTGAAACATTAAAGTGATCAACACAACTAAAAGATTCAAATTGCCACTTTTCGTAAAATTATAAAAAATATAAATAATGTAAATAAATAATACATAAAAATAATTAAATAATATTATATTTTTTATTACTACAATATGTTCTTAATATATATATTTTTTTTGCTAATTTTCTTCTTTCTTCTATTAAATCTTCTGTTTCTTCTTTGTCTATTCTTTTTTGTAAGGTTTCTAATTCTTCTGATAATTTTTTATTTTCTTTTTGAAACCTTTCTTCTTCTGTGAAACCAATACTTAAGATTTTATATAGATATTCGGTTATTTCTTCATCATCTGAAATTATAATAATTTCAGATTCTTTTAATTTTTGTTTTGAATTTTGGCGTTTAATAGTACGTTTAAGATTTCTATTATAATAACTATGAGACATTTTAAAAAAAAAATTTTTTTTTAAAAAAAACAAAAAAAAATAATAATTTATAATAAAGAAATTGGTCTTCAAAAGCCTGCTAAAAAAAATAGACATACTGGTATCTGTAGTAAAAGTGGTAAGGCATTATGACACTGAAGGTCGTACGTTCGAACCACGGGTAGGCGGGTAGGCTGCCAGATCCAGACGCTTTGGTGGGCCGTGATGTCAGTAGAAACCTGCTACCTATATACTGCTGTTTTATTTTATCAAAATTTCTTTTTTTATCATGTGATTAAAATTTTGTGACGTTTCGAAAAAAATTCAAAAAACTTTATTTTTTTTTATTTTTATTTTTTTTTATTTTTTTTTTTACGAAAGTTTAAGAATTGTATAATATTAAATTTTTATAATATCATAAAAATTTAATATCATACGATTCTTAAACTTTTTATATTGATTAAAAGTATGATCAAATAATTTAATAAAAAGAAAAAATACAAAAAAAAAAAATAAAAATAACTTCAGAAGTAACTGAAACAACTGAGCAAACAACTCCAACTCAACAAACAAGAAGTATCAAAGAACTTGAGCTGATTAAGTTTAAAATTGGTAAGATTGTATTTAGGTTTGTGATTATGATTAAAGTAAAGCCATGTAGATTTTCAGTTGATTTGTTGATTAAGTGAGAACCATTTATTATTTTGTTTTTGAGATGACCACATAGCTAGAATGTGGGCTTTACAAATAGTTTTAATAAAGTATCTGGTAGAGTATTCTACTAGATATAGTTCCTTTTTCTATTGCAAGATGTAAACCCATAAGGTAACAATAGCCTTACGGGTTATAATAAATATTAATACCTATATAAACAGTATATAATCCTCTTTATCTAAAACTTCAATTTAAGATTGATTACTTCTTGAAAAAGTTCGTAATTATTTCTTTAAGATTGATTCCTCTTTAAAAATGAATTGGTTAAAAATTTTTAAAGATTTTGAAATTGTAACAGAATGGGAACGTTATAAGAATCCTGATAAACCAAGACTTAAACTAAATAAATATCGTCTTATCAAAATCAATTTTACACTTTATTTAGAAGTTAAAACTCAAAACGAAGAAATCACCTTTCTTTGTGATCTTAAACATTTTAACCATATTAAAAATTATACCTGGTTTATTCAAAAATCTAGAAATATAGTTTATATTATAACAACTATTAAAAAAAAAACAATTTACTTTCATCAAATAATTCATTCTGAATTGAAAATTATTAATCATATTTATAGAATAGGAGTAGATAATCGTAAGATTAATCTTAGAAAAACAACCAATAATTACAAGCCACTTTTAATGCAAAATTGAACATATGTACATATTTTTTTTAGAACACCAATTATTAAAA